AGGCAATAGTAGTTATTGTTGTTAATGAATAAAAATGTGGTACAATTTTGAGGTTGGGATACGATTCATTAGACTGGCAATAAAACAGTTGAGTTGAATCACATCAAAAGATTCAATTCAATCACGTACTTACTTAAACTCACAAACTTATATACCGATAACTTCTTTATTCAACTTTCGATATGGGATAGACTCTAACACTCCTCTTTAGGTTGATAATTGAGTCATTTTGAATCTAATCGGTTGATGACCACTTCCAAATGAATTTCCATCCCTTGATTTTTTAGTGTCAACACTTAAAGGACCACAAGTCGTTTGATATGGATTTCCAAGCGAGTAATTAAATTAAATGAGCCACATGCAGTTAGATTTACATTTCACATGGAGAATTGGACTAAAGACTAGGGCTGCTAGGATTGAATGTCTAGATGGATAATTTAACAAACGAGGTAGGCTAAAACTTGCTTTGATATCATGATAGAATTTAATTATCAGGGGGGTATGAGTTATTAGATTGAGTCATAAGGAATTTGAGTTGAATCGCATTAAAAGATTAAATCCAATCACTTACTTAATTCAACTAAAGAGCTTATATACCGATTACTTTTTCTAATTCAACTTCCGACGTGGGATACACTCTAACAAAACGGATAGGGGGTTCGAATGAGAGGTAGTCGGCAAAGGGTTTTGGGGAGGGGTTAAGCCAGTAAGATTTGGATACTAACAAAGAACTGCATGTATCTCTAGTACACCAATGTCATAATATGACATTTGGGAGAGCTGAACATGATCTAAAGACTCTAATACTAAATACTCATGGGGAAGTTCATCCAGGTTCAAGAAAGGTAATGTTGACGCTGTAGAAATTCGTCGATGAGGATGTTGATGGAGACGACAATGTTGAATGTTGATGGAGACGACGATGTTGATGAGGACGTCGCCAACCAGTACCCGGTTGCGAATGACAAGACAGGCGACGATGATTGACGGTAAAATTTTTGTCAAAGAAATCGACAATTGGACTTAGAGTTTCCCTAGGATTTGCTATGATACCATGTAGAATTTTGAGAAATAACATTCTGATTATTTCATTTCCTTGGCCACCCTCACCATGGAACACATGGGGAACTACATACATAGTTGCACAAGTGAGATGAGACACTCCAAGTCCTCTAGGTCGGGTTGACCAAGGATCAGCTGGTGTGCATAATCCAAGTTCACTACTATGAACTCCATTTCGAGCCGAATCTGATGGGTGCCATATCCTACCTTAACCTTGAGCGTGATCAATCCCTTTGCCTCAATGGTATCTCAAGCGAACCCTGTAAACGAGGTCTTCACTGGCTTGAGGTGAGCTCAAGACATGTATAGTTCTTTGTGACGTGGGCGTCCCGAGGGGGATCATGAAGGGTGGATAGTTGTCATCAATGAACATGATGGGCTCCCTTCGTGCCTTCTTAGGTAGTGGTGGGCTTTGGATCTTGGCCAAGTAGAACATATTTCTCCCCTTCTTCCAGGTTGTGGTTGAATCCTCACCCGTGTTGCTTTCCATGATGAAGTTTCACCCCAAATAACTTTGGTTTTGTGATGAAGTTTACCCGCATCTTGATCGTCCCCATTTATGATGGATTCTATAGGCGATTTCCTCCAGGTGCGTCACTCGGAGTTGGTGTTGGAAGGGCATGCCTATCAACTAATCCACCTCCTTTTCAGGGCAATGCAATCAGTTGTATCATGTGTGTTATTATGATGATACTCGAAGTAATTGGCTTCGTCTTGGACAAATAGATTTCCTGGTTCTGTGGCGCTAGAAGACGAGTCTAAATAGTGTTAACAGGGACTCGGTTCGCATGGGATCCCATTAGGTTAGGGCCTCTGGTGTAGTCTTTCCTCTTCTTATTGCTTCTAGTGGGCTCCCCTGTACAGCGGGAGCCTTCTTGCCCACCAAGAGCTCGTCCGGAGGATCTTCTTCATCTTCCTTCAACGCCAAAAACTTAGCCTTGGCCAACATCTCATGGTAAGTAGGTAGTGGATTTCTCCGCAACTCCTTGCGCACATCTCCTCGGAGGAGTGTTGCTTGAATCATAGTGATGAGTGTTGGTCGTCTGCTCCTTAGACATACCTGGCCTCCTTTTCCAAGTTAGTCACAAAATCCCTATGTTTCTCCCCTTTTCATAGCCTAATATGACATTCATGACGTTGGAGTGAGGGAGCTTCTTGCGGCAACTTGCCGCAAAGTGTTCAAGGAGCTTTCTATGTGGACCCTTCCACCTATCAATGATTCTTTTTGAAAGCTTATAGAACCATTCATACGTGTGCCCCTCCAGGGTTGCTAAAAAGAAATAACAATTAATCTCTTTTGGGTACACCGACATGACTACATTAGCCCAGAATTGAGTTAAACGGTCTTAGGGATCAATCGTCCCATTATAGGCTTTAACCAGGGGTGCCCTGAAGTGTTTTGGGAGCAAGCACAACATAATACGTCGTGAAAACAGGGTCACCTCATCTAATATGGTGTGACAACATGGAATTTTTATGCATCCACCTTTTTCTTCAACTCACCCACAGTTTTCCACCACTCTCCCACATCCCTACCCCCTAGACTAGAACAAGCCGCTCATCTCCTGGAAGGGGGAAGGAGGTTTTGAGGTGGTCGAGGATTCAACACGCTGTCTTGGGTTGTGGGTCCTGAGATCTTTGTTCTAGGGCAAATAACCATAATTCAAGCGGTCAAATGCTGACACCCGCTACTTTTTGGGTTTCAGGTTCTCCAGGCGCATTTGTATGCGGATGACTCGTCTTCCTTCTCCACGGGTTTTAGCTAGAGGTGGCAATCGGATCAACCGGATCGGTTCCAGATTGAACTTTTTCGGTTCGGATATCTTTTGATTATATGTTATAATCGGTTTGGTTCGATTCGGATATGTTAAATTTTGGTTCGGATTTGATTTCGGTTCTATACATTTTTCGGTTTGGTTCGGTTTCGAGTCGGTTCAGATACGATTCGGTTATGAATTGGTTCGGATAGATTTTGATTCGGATACAATTTGAGTCGGATATATTTTGGTTTCGGGTCTAGTCCGGTTCGGATATATTTCGGTTTCGGATATATTCGATCGAGTGGACTACAAATTATGAAAAAATATATTTTATGATGATATAAATTTAATATCATAATATTAATTTTAAAATTTAGTTTTGATATATTAAAATTTTATCACTTCAAATAATATTATGAGTAATTTACCTAAATAGGGCTAAAACACAATGACTTTCCCAATATAGGACCATATGTTTTTATTTCCCAATGCAGGACTTTTGGTCATTATTAATTAGTCATTATTCAAGTAAATGTCCATTATTAATTTGTTACTGGGCATTATTCCTCCCACTAAGACATTATTAAGTTCTCTCTAAGGAATAAAAAAGTTTAAGTCCTAGATTAAGAAAGTAATTATGTTTTAGTATTATTTAGTACAAATTTATTCATATCATTAGTTTTATCTTTATAAATAAAAAGATAAAAGATAAATTCAAATCGTATTAGGATTGTGTTACCACTTTTTGGGGAAGATGAGTCGAAGCAACTAGTTTTTATCTCGTGCTTTGCACTGACTCGCATACTTTTTTTTATAAGTATAGCTATTTAAAAATGGTACTCCGTATTATATTAAAAAATAAAACTTACATTAAATAAATAAGAGAATAACTCTTTAAGTAATCCAATTACAATGTCTATTTTATTGCTCATTTGCTCTATTTTTGTAATATTTCTAAAACATGTAATCCATTTTGTGAGGGAATGAGCAAATAATATAATTAGTTCAAATGGTAAAATAAAAGTAAAATTTTAAAAGCATAATTTGCTTATTGAAAGGAAAACATACTTCCAAAATTATCTATGTAGGTTCTAATCGGTTTCGGATATAATCGGTTTCGGATCTAATCGGTTTCGGGTTTTATGGTTTCGGGTATTATCGGTTTCGGATCTAATCGGTTTCGGGTTTAATCGGTTCGGATATTATCGGTTTCGGATCTAATTGGTTTCAGATTTAAATCGGATATGAATTATTTAGTTCGGTTTCGGTTCGATTCAGATCATTTCGGGTTTTCGGTTATAGATCGGATCTTCATTTTTCGGGTCATTTCGGTTTCGCTTTCGGATATTTCGGTTCGGGTAATCGGTTCCGGTTCTGTTTTTCCAGCTCTAGTTTTAGCACATCTACCATGAGTACCTTCTTGTTGGCCTTACCGGCCATCTTCTGAGAAAGGTGGTCTTTTTCCCCTTGCCCGCTAAACCCTCTGCCCTTGCATCATTGGTCTTAAGACCTCCTTGACGAGTAGTGTCGTGTGCTCCTCGCCCCTCAGGGTGGAGAGGGTAGCAACGACAATGCTAAACTAAATGCTCGATGGTGATCCCAATCTCGTCTATGATACATTGGGTTTCATCACAAGTGATTGGCGGTCGGCGGCCGTCGATAGCACCACTACCTTACCCCTCGACATTGGGGTTTCTGGTGAGTACAACAAGGTAAGTGATAATCATGGAAGGTTCGTTCAGTCGGTCTCCCTCTTCCATTGACGCTCAACCTTGTGCTTTCTATTCAATCAGCAATTAGGCATAGTTAGCCCGAGAAAGAAGCTCTTTCCATCCACGTAGTAGCTGTGTTAAGGACTTACTCTCCGCTCCTTGTGGGCTCGGCCCATTAAAAGGCCCACCTGGACATCGAACGCTTAATATCCCATCCATTACAAATCACTATGTGAACATTATTTGAGGCTATATATATTTAGTCTTTTAGCAAATATAACTATGACTAGCTAATTCATTGTAAACATACTTCACCTTTTAAAACCTAATTCATTCCAAAATTTTAAACCATAATTCAATTTTTAGGTCTGAACTACTCGGAGTTGATAGTTGATACCCATTTTTTCAAGGCATGGTCCTCAACCTCAAGGGTATTTAAAAGAGGATCTGAAAATCTCAATACATAATCCAAAAAGAAGAGGGGCCAAACTGGAAATGTTGGAAGAATCCATCTCCCTACAAGGCCTGTGGGGTTTGGGCGTGCCGTACACAAACACCTGCAGATTGCGACATGAGAGAGAAGAGAAGAGACCCATGAACATATATTACGAAAATTTTGCATAATTGATTCAATTGGCGTCTTCGAATCAGACATGCCCTGCAGCAGCTACTCTGCCTTTTGTTGTTCCCACCCTTTTGTCATCTTCATCGTCTTCTTCCCTTTCTTTTGATTTCTTTTTCTCGTTCGTGCTCCTTTGGTATATATTATGTACTGTTCTTGGCATTAGAGAAATGGGTTTTTGATTTTAGCTAAAAAGGGGGAATCTTTTCTTCTTCTTTTTTTATCCTTTCCATTCTTAATTTCTTTGTTCGGGGAAATGGCGGGTTGTCATCGGAATCTTGAAGAACCGAGCATAGATACGGATAAGCTGAGTTACGAGATCTTTTCAATCCTCGAGAGCAAGTTCTTGTTTGGGTATGATGATCAGAAGCATTGGATTCCGGAGGACAAGAACGAGGTTGTTTCCAGGTCTCCGGAGGTCGACGGGAACGAGGATTTGCAGGCAATCAAGAACCAGAGGGGGAAAATTTGTATCTTGGCGATTGACGGCGGCGGAATGAGGGGAATCATCTCCGGTAAGGCGCTGGCGTATTTGGAGCAGGCGCTGAAGGTGAAATCCGGCAACCCAGATGCCCGAATTGCAGATTATTTCGACGTGGCTGCCGGCTCCGGCGTCGGGGGAATTTTCGCTGCTATGCTCTTCGCGACCAAGGACGGGAGCCGGCCGATTTTCTCCGCCGACGACACGTGGAGGTTTTTGGCGGAGAAGGGGAAGAAACTGTACCCCAAGAAGGGGTCGAGCTCCGGCACCGGCGGTTTGGTCAGGCGAGTGCTCCGAGGCGGCGGCGAAGGGACCGTTTCCGCTACTGGGAGGCTGGAGAAGGCGATGAAAGAGGCTTTTTCCGACGAGAGGACTGGTCGGAGCTTGACCTTGAAGGACACGATGAAGCCGGTTCTGATCCCCTGCTACGACCTATCTAGCACGGCGGCGTTCCTATTCTCACGCGCCGACGCGCTGGAGACAGACAGCTACGACTTCCGGCTATGGGAGGTGTGCCGGGCCACATCGGCGGTCCCAGGGGTGTTCGAGCCGGTATGCATGAAATCCGTAGACGGGTCGACCCGGTGCGTGGCGGTGGACGGAGGGCTGGCGATGAGCAACCCGGCGGCGGCGGCCATCACCCACGTCCTCCACAACAAGCAGGAGTTCCCTTTCGTGAGAGGGGTGGAGGACATTTTGGTACTTTCCCTCGGCACAGGTCAGCTTTTGGAAGGCAGCTTTGACTATGAAAAAGTCAAAGGGTGGAAGGCCAAGCAATGGGCTATACCCATGGCCCGAATCTCCGGCGACGGCTCGGCCGATCTCGTCGACCACGTCGTCGCCATGTCCTTTGGCCAGTGGCGCACCACCAACTACGTCCGTGTTCAGGCACGTCATTCTTTCTTTAATAATTCGATTTGATTCTTAATCAATTCACTTTTGAGTCAAATCCAGACACTAATGATTGGAATGAAGATATATAGGGTCCTCCCAGTACCTCGAATATCAGGCTGGGATGGAATAAATTGATTTATAATGCCAATCTGAACGATAGGAAATGAGATCTATTCTTGACACGTACAAGAACCACATATGGTCAATTTTATTGTCGCTATTAGGAGTAGAATCCGGATTTAACCTATTTGGCACTCACCTTTCAACCACCTAACCTATGCCTCAGGGAAAATGTACTCAATAAAACATACTCCACCCATTCCGTATTAAAGTTCTATAATTGACCGGACACGAAGATTAAGAAAAATAAAAGGTGAAGAAGAGAGGGAAATGGTGTAAGTTATAAAAAGTTTGTCTAATAGTGAAAGTAGAACTTTATTTTGGGACAAAAAAAGCATTGTAGAACATTATTAGGGAGGGAAGGAGTACCATTGTAGGGGTATTCTGTACAAATATATACAAAAAAGAAATAAAAACTGTGGGCAAATGGTAAGGGCAAGTTTGACATTTCCATCTTGGGAAGGAAAGGGGGGATCAACTTTTTTATAAAGTGTGAAGAAGATTGGGTAGCAGAATAGGGAAAGGTTGTAGTTTTGTGATATGAGCTGAGCTGGAAAAGAGCCATTTTTACAAAACATGGGGCTACTTTATATCCATTCTACTATATTGGTTTTGTCATTTAACTCAAAACTATAGTGTCCCTAACAAAAGGTATTGTGTTGCCATATATGGTTGTGGGTTTTTTTTTCTCTCCCACATATTGCAAAAATGTACTTGCACCAAGCCACTAACAACTACATAGACCTTTGCACACTTATCCTAGAGAAGTACTGTCATAGTTTAGGAAATAGAGTAAAATGACCAACATACCCTTACATTGTAAAATGTAGTAGTGTCTCAACAAGGACATAGTAGTAAGGGCAAGGTTCCCACATGACAATGCCTGGCAATGTCATGGAATGACCCAGGGGTGCTCCGGTGTCCCGTTCGTAAAATTGACGGTTCCTACCCCCAAACACCCCCGGTAACCCTCCCACCCTGCCCTGACCCGAACACACCCCCCACCTCCTTCAATTGCACCCCAGATGTTGATTTTGATTTTGGAGTCCAATAATGACATGCAAATGGACCCGAACACACCCCCACCCTTTCAATTGCTTGAATGCCACAGTGGGACCCGAACACACCCCTCACCCCCTTAAAATGTTTTTACATTCTAACAGAAGGTGTCATCCAATAATGACAGGCAAATGGACACAGCACATCAGGTAGTTGTGGGGTGAACGTAGACACGGACCCGAGTCCAAACAACGTGAGGAGGCTGGTGGGGATAGCGGACGAGATGCTGAAACAGAAGAGCGTGGAGTCGGTGCTGTTCGGCGGGAAGAGGATCGGGGAGAAGAGCAATTTGGAGAAGCTAGATTGGTTCGCGGGCGAGTTGGTTCTTGAACACCAGAGGAGGAGTCTCAGGATTGCTCCCACTGTGGCATTCAAGCAGCCCAACACCCATCATCTCCACTGATTTAAACATGCAATGCCTGCCTCTCTTCTGAACCCATGGGAAGGATTATTTGGTAATTACATATGCTTCATTATTTCTCCCTTCTCATTGCTAAACTGTTGAATTATAAAACTGGTTTCATTGATATGATCTCTTAACTAATAACAATAGAAAACTCTAACATGACCCAGCTTGGGGTGATATTTTAACTTCAAATTATCAAGTTCTAAAGAACGGGCTCTAAAAGCTCTAAGATAGATAGATTATGAGTATTACAGCTGGAAAACAGGCCGATCGGGTTCGGGTTATTTTTGGTTTGAGTCGATAAGTTTGGGATCAGATTGGAAAATACATCTCCGTCACCCGATATTATTGGATTTGAGCCCACCCAACTGGTTATGAATGTTTATTTTTATAATATTTATATTTAAACCAACACTTGAATTTTTTTGACATAAAAATATTGAAATATACTTTATATTCTGTATTAAATTTACATTATAACCAAATATAATTTTTTTCATAATTTGTTACAATAAAATCACAAAATTCAAAGCAGTATGATAATTTTAGGACAGAGAGTACTAAAGTACAATAATTTTGAAAAGGCTTACGTCACCAGGTCAGTCAACTCGAATTTGGATTCAGTCAAATTTCACTAGAAATTATTTTTGGGTTCGAACATCTTGCGGGTTTAGTTATCAAAAGTCTTGTTCAAGATGGCGCAGTATGGGTCGGGGTTGGATATCGATCAGGTCAATTTTTGGAAAGTCTTAGTGAGAATACAAATTGTATAGGTGGGTACAAGTTACCCGAACCAATTCAACCAATGGATACAAATTGTGTCTGTGAGGAGTGTGGCGTCAAACTTGAGGTAAAAAAGGGATACCCAAGTTCAATTCTTTTTGGAAAATGCTAGGGTAGTGTACCCCATTTGTTTTCCACCCCCTCCGTAACCATTCAAATAAGCAAGAAAATTTAAAAAAAAAAGTAAATAAAAATTACTTTCTCTGTCCACCATAGATCTTCCCAGATACTATTCACAGGGTCAAACTTAATTCACCTTGTTTGTATATTTTTACTACTCATTTCACAAAATAATATAGTGTTGTCACCTCTAGTTTTGTAGAACTTTTCATGTAGTTTATTACTACATAGATTTTATATTAATATTTTACTCCCATATTCAAATAAATTGAATTGAAAATAAAGTCAGTCAAGTCTCGTAACGCGCAATAGGAATATCTTAGGTGGACGGAGGGAGTAATTAAAAATGGGTGGTGGAGAAGGGGGTGGTGTACAAATGGGATGTACCCCTACTAGCATTGCTTTTTCTTCATCACTTGAAGGGGTTTTCATTTCATCACTCATGTTGTTTGTTCCAGCAGTGTGGGTTCTTAGCTTGTCATTTTGTGTCCTAAAGATGATGAAATTAAAAGCCTAGGGGCTGTTGCAATAGTGCATGCGTTCAGGTTGCCCAGGGCCAAATGGGCGATGTTCTACCGACAGTTGTGTCCTTAGTCAATGAAAAGGGTATTTTAGTAATTATATGCCCTCTTTGATTATTTGAACTTTAAGGGTTGTACTGTTTCTAGGTGTCCTTTCTTTCTTGAATTGGTGATTCGGGGAAGCAGACCCATATCTAGAAATGTGTAATATTGACTCCTTGAAGTTGAAGGAAGGAAGGGCCATAGAAAAGTGTTTTGTAATTAAGTATTTTCAAATACAAGGTCTCATAAGCTTCGTCTCCTTTGAAAGTGTAGAAAAAAAGTTCAAAAATGAAAGGTGGATAGTTTAATTTCTTTTAGTCGGTTTAAAAAACACAAGTATTTTGAATCATACGTTCTGTCAAAAATTATTTATTCGGATAAGAATCTCATGAAAGCTTGATGTCGATGTGGTTTGACCACGGTTCTCGTTGAGAGGTTCAGGCCAAAGCCTAACCGGTTGAAGTAGGATATATGCAATTTCTCTTATGGAAATTGAAAGTGAAAATTATTTTGAGACAGTAAAAAAAGCAGGATCCGGAATGAGTCTATCGTTGTCGTTGGGAAAAACTAAACCCAATCATGAAAGTATAGATGTTGGGCAAATAGGAGAGGGGTCTCATCATGACACCATAGTGACTTGGACTTCTTTTAATTTGGGTTCTCTATCCAAAATGTGGTGATGCATCACTTTAGTGTTGAATGATTGTTTGGTGAAATTTCTTTTTCTCCCTAAGGTTGTGATTGTCAATATCCTTACTTAATTGGAGCATGGAGGGCAAACATGTAAACTTTGAATTTCATGGTTTTCTAATTTAACAAAACCTGGTCTACTAGTTGGGCAAACATGTTATGCCAATGAAAAAAGCGAGGGGAACCCGACATATGACACTATAGTGTTTTACGAGCACACACAAAAAATAATTGTCTTTATGTGTTAAAAGTGGTATCAAATGCAGGGTTCCTTTAGTGGAGTTCTATCCCTATAGACATATACGGAGAATTCTTTTTAAAAAGATATTGTAATTTTCCTAATTTTTTAATATTCCTTCTAGGGTGTGTTTGATTGTAAGAGAGAATATAGGAGGGAAAATGATACATTTTCTTGTTTGGTTCAAAACACTTTTTTTCCTCTTTGCACTTCTTGCCTACCCTCTCTGCATGTTGATGAGAGTATAAGAGATGGAAATTTTTGGATCCCATACTTTTGGGTCATTTGATAGAACTGAATGAAATTGAACTGAAATGAATTAAAAAATACCGAAATTAAATCATTGCCCTCTAAAGAAAAACTTTTGAGCCACACAAAGTTTTTGTCCCCTCTTCTCCAACCAAACACATCCTTGAGTGGGGAAGAATGTGGCATATTTGAGAGGAAAGATTAGACAAAAATGTTAAAGGTATACTAAAAATGTACCTCATTTGTAGTCTTTCTAACACAAATTTTCTTAACGTGGCTAAAAAGAAAGAGAAGTGAATAAGAAATGTGAACTCTTGAGTTTGATGATAAACAAATGGAATACACTTTTGGCGTATCCCTAATATTTATGGTTCAAAGGCATATATAGGTGGAGGCGTGTATAAAGGCAGGGAATGGCTAAAAAAACAATAGGAGAAACTTTATGTGAGAAAGTGTTGAGTTATGATTCAATGGGCCACTACAAGTTTGGCACTTTTCACTATTATTGTAACGATTTGGAAAGAGGCTTCACATTGTTATTATTATTATTATTGATGTAAAAGCAGCCAGCCCCCACCCACGAATTATATTGTGCCCTCATCAATGTTAAGCTTGTACTTCTTCTTTGTTTTGTTTTATATAGACCTCTAAATCGCGTCGGGCGGATCGAGTTTGAATCGGGTCATTCGAAGTTCGGGTTATTTCAAGGTCTGAGTTGGAAAAACGCCTTTCAGCCTGAACCCTAAACATGCACGTTCGAATAAAAAAATTACCTTTCCTTTTATTGGCTAATTGTCTAACTAATGGAATATGATTGTAAACGAATTGAATCGAATCAGATCAAATATTTATGAATATTAACTCCCTCCCTCTCAAAAAAGATTCATGTTCACTATTTACAGAGTCAAACTGTGACCACTTTATTTTCTTATTTAATTTTTATTACTTATTTGATAAAAAATAGTATTGTCCCCTCATGTTTTGTAAACTTTTTGATGTGGTTTTTAACTATACGAATTTTATTTTTAAATTTTATGCCAATTATCTTATAAAGTGAGTTGAAAAACTTCTGTCAACCAACATAACTATTTTTTGTTTTCGGGACAAGGAGAGTATTCGTATTTGCCAGTTTTAAATGGCTATTCCAATTCGGATTCAGATTCAACTCAAATAGTTTTAGAGATTTGTATTTGATTTGTTTATCATACACAAGATATTTGGTTTGTTTAAAAATTCAACTCGTTAAATTTTTTAAAATATTTCGTATCTTATAAAAAAATACTTTATTTCTTTAAAAAAATGTATATTGTGTTAAGGATAAATAAATAATCTTTATTATTTATTTATTATCTCAATTAAGGATACTGAATATCTATTATATTCATTACATGATTTGTAACTCCTCATATTATTCCCCATATCACTCCTTCCATATATGTATTGTAACTCCCTAATCTTTAGGCTAACCTTATGGCTTATGATTACTTCTCCTAATTGTAACTACTATAAAGTGTAATACCTTTTGTCAATAATACAATGAATCATTCCTTCATATGGTATCAAAGCAGTAAAGGGCTTCTTTCTCCTTTACGATCCATTCACGGCTTCCCTTGCCTTTCTTTTATTTTTTCTTCTTCTCGACATACGTCGACCGCAATCACCATGGCACAGACGCCTTCAATTACCAAAGATACACCGGTTGTGCAATTGCATGCCAAATCCCATCTTCCCATAAAATTGATCTCCACCAACTTTCTCATTTGGCAGCGCCAAGTTCGGTCCACACTCATTGGACTCGATCTACTTGGCTACCTCGATGGCACCATAGCTGCCCCACCGCAACTGGTCAACAACGCGCCAAATTCTTGTTACTCAATCTGGTTCCGACAGGATCAAGCTATCGTTGGGGCTCTTCTGGGCAGCTGTGCTGATGTCGTGCAGCCGCTGATCTCCACTGCTGAGACAGCCCATGCCGCGTGGCAGAATCTCCATTCGTCCTTTGCCACTACCAGTCGGGGACGGATTGTCTTTCTCAAGTCCAAGTTGGGAAAAAACCCACGCGGTAATCGCTCAATTACTGATTATCTCCATGATATGCGCACCATTGCCGATGAACTTGCTCTTGTTCAAAGTCCGATTTCAGAAGAAGATCTTGTTGTTCACGTGTTGAACCAAGTTGGGCCCGACTATGATCCCATTTCCTCTGCGGCTCTCCTTCGTCCCTCGGCCATTTCTGTAACGCCCCAAAACATACCCTAAAATTTTTAATGAATAATTCAATTAATCAAATTTGTTTTGATTAAAATAAATTATTGTTGGGCTTTGGGCCGATATGAAATTTGTTTTGACATCTAATATCAAAATCAGGATAAGTCTCATAGAGATAAATCCAATATGTGGACTATTTGTGTGGTCTTGATTGGGAACCTGAGTACAGACCCAAATCAAGAGTAAATAAAGAATTTGTTTAGAATGTAAATATTGAAATGATTTGTTGAAATAAATCATGAGAATAATTGATGTGAATTAAATGAGAGAACCTTTTATGAGAAAGGTCAATTAAACCAATTTTGACTCTGTCAAAGTCAACCACCCAAAAATATGATGTCGGAAAAAGTATTACAAATAATTATGAAAAGTATATCGTTGAATAGAATTCGACTGTCTGATCGCAACGGTGTGAACGGATTTCAATTCAGAGAAAGTTGGACCAAAAAGTGTACCCCGACTGGAACCAAAATTGGTCCCAATCAGAGAACTGTTCAGTCGGCGCCTCCGAACGCACTAGCCGATCAATCATCATCATCTTGCGTCTTCTTCTTCCTCACCACTCTATATAAGAAAACCCAACTCACTCAATTC